ACATTTGTCTTTCTTGCATACACAGGTAATTTGGACAAATTAAACTACATTAAAAATGTTAAAGTTGCAAAGTGAAGCACTCAAAAGTTAAGAAACTCCAGAATTAAGGTTGCCCTTGTAACCTTTATTCAGTCCCCTTGTGCATCTGCATTATGAGCAACTCTTTAATTATGTGATCATATACTATTTTTTCCATAGGTCTTCAGCCTCATTCACAACAATTTCCTTCTCTCAGGTCCTGTACGCAGCTCCACAGCAATCCTGGCAGTAAAACTTGTAGTGAATTCGTGCTCAGTCTCTTTAGCTATGGCGTAGAACAGGGGTGGGGAGCCGAAGACCCAGGGGCCAGATGCAGGCCTCAGCTTGCCTGGATCTGCCCCCACCCCCTCCGGGCCATAGGGGTTCTCCCACCCAGCGCTAGCACTCCAGCCGCTGCTGTCCCTGCCCTACTGATTTTTCTGTGAGTCAGCAGCCCCCCACCCCTGACCTAGAACGTGCTCACTTGCTTTTTGTGGAGGGGGCATTCACCATTCAGCTGACACACAAGAGCAGTGACGACAGATGGGGAGACGCATAAGGGGGATACCAAGCATATGACTGCCCACCACATGACTCTTCTCGGCACCAACTTTAGCATAGGGGAGGGCCATCCCTAGGAAAGTGCAAGGCCTGGGACAATCCCCCTCCACTCAGGCCCACCTCTTCCTGCCCCCGCCATACCCTCATTGTACCTCTTCTCCCAAGTTCCAGCCCCTGCTTTGCCCCTGCCCTGCCCCACCTCCACTCCACCACTTCCCTCAATCCCCCTCCCCCAAGCAATGAAGCCCAGGGGACTAGTAGGATACCTGTCACTGATAGTAGGAGTTAGGCCTGCCTCTCCCCCCTCCTCCAGTCATTTGTAGTGGCAGGGGGGGAAGAGACCCCGCCCCCCCCGCCCCATGTAGTATAACCCCTTCCCCCAAATCCCATCCCCTGAGCAATGGAGCTGGGATCTGGGGGAACAGAACAGGTGAGTGTGGGGATGGGCACAACTCCTGCTGCTGGTGCCAGGCCCTCTGTTAATGTCCCAAATGCCTTGCAGGGCCCCTCATAGTGCAGGGGTATAACTTGGGGTATAAGTGTCCAATGGACAGGATGGCACTGCTATAACCCCTTCCCCCAAATCCCATCCCCTGAGCAATGGAGCTGGGATCTGGGGGAACAGAACAGGTGAGTGTGGGGATGGGCACAACTCCTGCTGCTGGTGCCAGGCCCTCTGTTAATGTCCCAAATGCCTTGCAGGGCCCCTCATAGTGCAGGGGTATAACTTGGGGTATAAGTGTCCAATGGACAGGATGGCACTGCTAGCTGCTGACCTCTCCCCGCCACATTGGGGGAGGGCACACGGCCCCTCCATGCATCACCCCTAAATAGCAGCTGCTTGCAGTGGGAGTACACACACTGTAGATGGAATCTTTGAAGAATGCAGCTTCTAAACTTTAAAAGGCTTCATTGAACACCTGAAAACTAAATTTTTCAAAGACTCATAATAATTTGATCCCATATATGCAGGTTTTCACAGGGACATAAAAAGGCACTTCCCTGGCACCAGGAGTTATGGGGTTCTCTCAGAGAGGGTCAAATCAGGCTGAATTGCTTAAAGAAAAGGCTAGTTATGGCCCAAGACCAGGGGTCCTCCACTATAAGGCACACCAAACAAGTCAAAAAGAGCATATCTGTTTGACACAATAGCCAGCAAGAAGTTACACAAGCAATCCATTTACATACTCCAGCTTCTCCTATATCACAACCTTTACCCCTCCTTACACAAATGAGAGATTATGAAAACAAATTTCACCATATCCAAACAGGTTCTCTTGATCCCAAAGGACCAGCCAAATTCCCAGGTCAATTTATATCTCACATCTTACCCAAAAGAGCACGCTGTGCCTTTTAGAATCTAAAATCTAAAGGTTTATTAATAACAGAAAAAAAAGAACAATTTGAGAGTAAAATTGTTAAGGAAATCAAATTATCTACACCAATTAAAAAATTCTTGGTGCAGCCTTCAAGCAGAGCTGGATTAATCTGCTGTTTTATACCTATAATTAAGTCACCAACAATTTTTATATGTGTAATCCAGTATCATTCCTCATGCTTTCTAAAAGAACAGCATTATTACTCTCTCATGTATTCATATAAACATGTTGAAGTGTTTCCATTTAAAATTGTCCAAAACAGAGCATATACCCATAGTCAAAGTTCCACGAGCACCGGCAAGTAGATGCAAGCTGAAATTCCTAGTGCATCAAAGAGATTAAAACACACAGTTTCCAAAATAAGGCATTAAGAACACGTCCCTGCCCTAAAAATAAATTAATAAATTGCTCCTCTCCATTCCCTTGTTTCCACCAACAGACTGTTCTCACCCAAAGAGCAATCCTTACAGTGGCAAAACAATTGTAAAAAGTGAAGAAAGAGCTTGGAGGGAAACAGGGCAGAAACAGACAAAGACAGATGATGAACACAAATAAAGAGAGACCTGAATGCCAAAGCCCTTCAAAGGCAATAAATCATTTACACTCTCTTATAAATCAGTACAAACAGCTTCTATGTGTGTTATTCATAAGTACGCCTTAAGTGGCAGAAATGTATTACAGCTCTGCTTTTGCCTCACCTTCTTCCATCAATATCTCACCCTATCCTATGTATGTTACCCTCCTGGACAAAGCCTCATTGTGATTCCAATGAATACACTGTAAATAAAGTCTCAATCTAGTTTCAGTAAATACCTCCCAATTAATAGTTACTTTAAAGGTTATTCAACAGAATTTTCAAACGAAAGCTGTTACTGTGGATTATGACTAAGCTGGGGGAAGCTTTGATAGGAACACATACCTTAAGATGGGGTGTACCAACCCTGCACTGGCCCAAGAGTGGTTAGCCAGGCCTGCTGGACTGAGAAGGCCTCTCCCCCACAGCCCTGCTGGGGGCTCCGCCCGCCCACCATCCCATGATTTCAAATAGGCCCACAGCCCTGCTGGGTATGTGCCAACTTCAGGCCTAGTATAAAAACCAGGGGAGTAGCTCAGTCATGACTGACCATGGCAGGGGAAGGCTTTTTTGTCTGAAAGCAGCTGTTGCCATCAGGTGACCGGGAGAGCAACAAACCTGGAGGACAGCTGGGGAAGATACCAGCTGGTGGACAGGATAGGAAGTAGCCCAGGGCAGGGAATTTACTGCCTTACTGCACCATGGACTGGGGTTACTATGGACTAGGCTGCTGAGCTGTACTGCAGCACTGCTAGAAGCTATAGACCAGGAGCCTGATTATGGGGTGAGGCTATGCAGATGGGGTTCAAGAGTGCCCCCCCAGCTTCCTGGGAAGCCAGGCCTCCCACCCTGTGACATACATAAAGACCACTAGACCAGTAATAAAGGGGTTAGATCATGATTATTTTTGCATCAGATGTTCCCAGTGCATGTCATCACAGAACTCCAGATTTGACACCATTGCAATATTGATTTGATCTACCCAGCTCATTGTTTTATCTTTGTGTTCATATGGAAGGAGTTATAACTGAACCATTTTATGTGAGAAGTACACCTCATGTTCATCTGCAATTAGCAGCCTTCTTTCTAAAGCGTATTTCTTCCACCCCACCCATCAGTCTCCTTTATTATTCCTATTTAAAAATTCTGTTTTCAGTACTTCATCTAGATTCTTTTTCAATGTACCAAACTGAAATTTGTCCCTTGTCAAATTGCAAGGCTTGGCACAGAATGTCATTGCAGGTGGAAACGGATGGGGAATGTTACAGTTGTTTTATCATTTCAGTGGACCACTGCTTTCCAAACTGAGCAAGGAAATCCATATGGAAGGATGATCAAACACACATTGTTTTTCTTGTATGAGAAGAAATAATCTTGCAATATGTGCAAATGTGTAATTTTTCTCAAGATGTCTGAAAAGCACTCAGTCTGCCATTATCAGGAACAATACTGCATTATCAAACTATTTGTGCCATTCTGCTTTGGGATTTGAATGGAATAAGAACTATAGAAATGAGTTAACAGTTAACATACCAGAACAGCTGCAATAAAAGAAGGGGATATTAGAAAGAAAGCAAATCCACAGAGCAGTAAATATAATTTTCAAATGAGTGATTGGTAGCTTCTGCTTTACTTTCACCTCTTTGTGGTAGAAATTAAGAATTATTTTCAAATAGTAAATGAACTGGGAGTTTTACTACATTAATACAATAAAACAAGAGCAGATTCTCAGCTGGTGCAAATTGGGATAACCCCCATTAAAGTCAATGGAGCTACATGGATTGACACTAGCTAACTATCTGGTTCTATGGCCTATGCATATTTTTAATTAAAAAGTAATATCACATTTTTATACTCTAATGTGACTGGCTAACATATATGGATACCGCTGCCCTATGACACGACAGCTCAGCTGTTTGTCAGACAGTCTCTACTACTAACAGTTAATGTTGATTGTTCCTTATGTCAGTTGCATGTTCTGGTGTTTTTAGAGCAAGAGGATTTGAGTTCTCTCTCTGCTGTCACCATAAATTTTAAATAGCTATGGTGAGCACTATAGTGAGAACCATGAAGTCTTGCTCATGAGTTTGTTAAAACATAATTGACATTGTTTCAATTAAAACACTTTTTAAAAATAAATTTTTACATTTGTTCCTTAATTATGCATTTTTATTTCAGAAAATCTGTTGCATTGGAGTAGGAAAAATACCTTGGATTTGTGATTGCCTCTAAAAATCCCTTTTTAAAACTTGACCTCCCAGCAAATTTCTCTGACAAGAGAAGTGGGGGAAGGATATTGAGGAAGGAAAACTATTCTCCCCAACCAACCATTTCAATAAAAATGATGAACTGCTACAAGCTTTCTATCAACATTCCAACTGAAATTAACCACTTTTGAGGTTCCAAATGTCATTTAATTTGCCTACGTGGTTTTTTTTTTTATTAAAGCCCTCTTTGTCTTCATTTAGGAACCAGAAAAAGATGTCCCAAAATCTTCAATGGAGATTACTGTCCCTGAGATATTTCTCGCATGGTCAAAATCAGGAAAGATTGAAGATCTCTCAAGAAAATTTGAGTTTGTTCAACCAAAGATGAATACAGTACTCAAACATTTGCATTCTTGTCAAGACTGGATTTCCAAAATCTTAGAAATTCACGTATCAACAGCAAAATAATAAAAGCAGATCCTAAAAAGATTTTTAATAAAAACTGAAATAATCTAGATGTATTTCTAAAACCTTTCTGTTATAAGATCTGTAGCAAACAAGCTGTCAGCAAAATTGATACTATATGAGCAACCTCACTGAGCATTTTCCTTAATTTGAAAAGTCCAAAATAAATTATTACTCTATTAATGCAAGGCCTATATTTCTTTTGCTAATATGTTATTCCTTAAGAACATCTCAGGCAATGGTGTCTTCCCTTGGATTCACATTCTGAATTTTTTGCTTATTGAATGCAAATCAGATTTCTCAGATGGAAACTGACTTGCTGTAAAACCAAAAATATGTCAGTATCATGCAATTTGAGATTGAGAAGGACTCCCTCTAATCTCCTAGCAAGAGATCTATCAACATCATGAGTATTCAAAAATAGGTCATCTCTCCTCCGAAGTTTTTCATAAGAGATACATTTGTTCTATCCCAAGGGGTATAGGAAAAAAAGTATAAAATGTGATCAAAATGACTCCTCAGCTGCTGGTTCTCTGCAATGAATTAAAATGATACAAATTTTGAGGCATTGTACATCAGTGATGAAAACAAAGGGTCTGCTGCTAAGCAACTTCTTAAAAATCTGTATATAGTAGGGTTAGGTACTGATAAGTGTTTCCTATGAGCTCTGGGTTCTTGGGGAACCAAGCTGCAGTATCTAAATGGTCTGACTGACAGGTCCACACATCCCTGCCTCTGCTTGAATCCAAGCTGACCAGAAGGGAGAGTTACAAAAAGCCATAAAATAGCAGTGGAAGACACACCAAAAACCCTCTGGTCAGAGGAAACAGTATTAAGACAACTCCCCTAGCTTCATTTGCGTCAAAGGTGGGACGGGGAGGCATCTCTGTTAACATGCAGACTGGAGAACAGAGATTCAAAGGCAGGAACTACACTGAACTCTGGGACCAGAAAAGCAAGGAAGCACTGCAGGCTGGGGAATCACTGCTCCATGTGTTAATCAACCCATGCCTGCACAGACCAGCTCAGTAGTTATCAAACCAATTCTAGCAATTAATCCTATATTGGTCTGCAAAATACTGAAGCTGCCTAACTGCATTATGAGCCCCTTGAAGGAACACTGCTTACAGCCAAGAATGTTCAGTTCTTATTGTCTAGCCTGAACAAAACAATTTTGGAATACTCCCATGAATCATAATTTTGCCCATATACAAATCTAGTGTTCCTTCTTTAATCACTGTTGTTTCCTTACAGAATTCCCTAATCTATGCTCAAGTTAAGCGTTCTTATGCCTGGATCCAAATTCTGCATCACTTCCATTGGGACTTCATCTTCCCTGACTGATCATGTTGGAGGCTCTTCTCTGTCTCTTCCTTTCTCCAGGCCCTAAGTTACCACCATCATATGTGAACCCTGATCAATTTAAGCTGCATAGAGTGGTGAGAATCAATTTCTCTCAGAGATAGAGCCTTCTGACCCTGATTTGTGTGATCCGTTATAGTTTTCTAAACCTGACTTTTGTAATCACATTTAAGTTAGATTTAATATTGTAACTGATTTCTTTATTTGGCTCCCCTTGTACAGTTGTTATTTAGCAATAGATTACTTGCATGGTTAAGTTGGTTGTTTCTCTCCCTCTCCATGTCCCTCCTCTCCTCTCAGTGGGTGTTTTTGGCTTCCCCATTTGCTCTACAGCAAAACTCCTCGTATCTTAGAAAAAGATCCCTACAGTTCTCAGAAATCTTATGAGGTTTGCTCATCAGGTGGGTTATTATCAGAATAATTGCAGCATGAAAGTGGAGATAGGAATGTGATGAACCTGTGGCATATGAGGGTGGCAACATGGAAGTGCTGTTTGGCCCAACTTCAAATGTCTTTAATGACTGGCAGGAGGAGTGTGGGAGGAATACAGGTTGAATCCATGGGCATATAAAGGTGGAAGATTGAAAGTGCTGCCTGCTCAGGCATACTCTATTCTGATGCTGTGCCCATGGCCAGAGGTGGAATGTAACTAAGTAGAAATACTTTGTTACACTGCTCAAGAACATTTGTTCGGTATTTGTACTTAACTCGAGTAATTTTATTTTTGTGATACTTTGTCTTTTACTCAAATAAGGGGTTTTTTTAGAAAATATTTCACTTTTTACTCCACTACCATTTCTGTAAGCACTTAGTTACTCACTACATTCAGCACCCCCCTGACAGTTGCACAAGCCAGCATTCTGATTTGTAAAAGCACAGCTGCATGCACAAAGCATCCAATTGTCATGAAATGATGATTTTTTTATATAACTAATCAACAAGCACAATGACCCTGCCAACGAAGAAGCCTTTTACTAGCCACATCAACACCTCTTCATTCAAAACCATTATCTATGCAGGGGTGGGGAGCCCCAAGTCTCTCAGGCCAGATCCAGTGTGTTGGGGAAAAGAAGGATGGCACTGTGCACAGCCACTCTCCCCATCTGGGGGAATGTGAGGGTTTCCCTGCTGCTCCCATTGGCCAGAATTCAGCCAATGGGAGCAGCAGGTAGCAGCAAGGAGCACAGAGCTAGGTAAGCACCTCCCCATTCCCTTTAGGGCCAGCCCCTGCACCCCCATCCCTGCCCAGCTCTCCCAGCCCTGGTCCATACCGGCACCCTCACATCTTTCCAGACACCCCACCTTCATTCTACCAATGTACTTCCCTACTGGCCAGACTTCCACCCCCAGCCTGCTCCAGCACCCTACATCCTACCCAAACCCCCATCCTCACCTCCATCCCTATCCCAATATCCTCCAACATGCTGAACCCCTCATTTTGGCTTTACCCCAGAGACTAGGGTCCCACACAAAATCTACTAACCCTAGGACCTCAAAAGAGTTAACCTGGTCTGTGGGAAACCCTGAACCTTGGTCCTCCCTGCCTCCTCTCTCCTTCCTCCCCTACCATGGGGCTGGAGTGCCAGGGGAATGAGGTATCTCAGTTGAGATACATCAGTGAAGGGTTTGTTTTTTTGTTTGGGATTGCCTCTCACTTGTGTGCCCCTGACTAATTTTTCTGTAGATCAGTGGCCACCAACCCAAATAATGGTGCCCTGTGATTATTTGGGTGGTTAATCATAGATTTCCATAGGATGGATACTTTTTACTTTTGGATACTTGAGTACAATTCAGATGTGATACTTTTACTCAAGTAGTTTTCCAGGACACTAATGCAAACACTAGCACTCCAGATCATTTCACACATTAGTAATAGGGGAACCATCAGAGGTAGAAAGAAAATCATATTAGATAGTGATAGAAATGTAGCCGTGTTAGTCTGGTGTAGTTGAAACAAAATACAGGACTATGTAGCACTTTAAAGACTAACAAGATGGTTTATTAGATGATGAGCTTTCGTGGGCCAGACCCACTCCCTCAGATCAAATAGTGGAAGAAAATAGTCACAACCATATATACCAAAGGATACAATTTTTTTTATTTGTATCCTTTGGTATATATGGTTGTGACTATTTTCTTCCACTATTTCATCTGAGGAAGTGGGTCTGGCCCACAAAAGCTCATCATCTAATAAACCATCTTGTTAGTCTTTAAAGTGCTACATAGTCCTGTATTTTATATTAGATAGAACACATTCATTTGCTGAAAGCTAAATAGGTTGTTACATGCAGACTTACAGTTACAGTGCTTTCCCTTTAAACATATGAACAGGCCTTTGGACTCACTCAACTCCTCATTTCATCATCACAACCATTAGTGGTTTCACTGTAGAAATTCCAACAAAAAGCCCCTGTTTTAGGGACTTTTGACTTTTACTTAATTTCACTTTTACTTTTTTCAAAGTAGCAGTACCCTTACTCGAGTAACTTTTTTGGGTACTATTTCCACCACTGCCCATGGCATATAAAGGTGACAGCTTGGAGGTGTTGTTACACCCAGCCTTCTGAGTCCAGAAACGTATAAGGGTGACACCTTTGGAATGCTGATTTACCCAGTTCTCTCAGATGTGCTCTGTTAATGTGTACAAGGGTTCATCTGGTTCTAGTGCTGTAGACTAGCTCCATCGGGAGGGAACTTGCAGAAGGGAGAAGCAGTGCTCTCTATGCCCTGGTCTACACTATGGAGTTATTTCAAAATAACTCCCCTTATTTCAAAATAACAAACAGAGCTGCCACACTACCAACCCTGTTATTTCAAAATAAGGGGCTGGTTATTTCAAAATAATAACTCCTGCTTTCTAGGAGGAATAACGCTTATTTTGAAATAGTAAGGATGCTCCACAGCTGCTATTTCAAAATAACTACTCCTCAGAGTCATTCAGAGTAATTACTCTCCAGTACTTCCTAGGGCTGTAAGTCAAGGTAGCATGTCTACATTAACAGAGCTTGCATTGGACTAAATTTGAGGCACACTATAGTGTGGGCACACTATTTTGAAATAGTTAGGAGTTATTATTTTAAAATGTTATTTTAAAATAATTTACTAGTGTAGACATGCCCTATGAGAACACAAGTGACACAACATCATTGAAAAATTTACTGAAGACCCCCCCCCCATACCCATACACACCCCAGAAAAGTAACTAATGAATCACCATACCTAAGTAACAGGCAAAGCTGGTAACAAGATATATTGTTTGCAGGGCTGCCAAAAGGGTGGAGGGGGGGGGGACGGACAATAGGGGCAATTGCCCAGGAGCACTGGTGACTTAAAAGGGCCCAGGACTTCCATGGCCACCACCACTACCACAGTATCAATGCTGTGCAGCATGGCAATGGCAGCTGGAGTGGAGGAGCCCCAGTAAGCCTAGAGCTCCCTGCTGCTTTTAAATCACAGCGATTTAATCACTGGCTGAGCCAACAGCAGTGTGGGGCACCAGGACGGCCAACAAGGGGATGGAGAAGGTCAATTGCCCTGGACCTTTAAACTGCTGCTGTGGATCCCTGGACACACAGACCAGGTAGCAATGGAGAGGCTAACCCCCATTCCTGCCTCTTCTGCCTCAGGTCTTGCCCCAGAGTCACCCCATCCTCACCTTGCCCAGGGGCCCAGCAGTTCTGCCAGCAGCCCTCACTGCTTGACTGACTTCCTCTCCAGTGTTTGCATTCCTCGAGACATGTAGGAGTGGGGAAATGGGAGAGGATTTCATGGTCACTTCTTCATGCAGGTTAC